ATATCACGATTATAGTGACCAAAATGATCACGGTTATTAATATTATCATCATGGTATTGTTAAAATGTCCTGGAAAGTTTTATGTAGAAAAACAACAAATATAATTAGCAGCACTATTTACTTTTTGTTTGCATAAAATAAAATAAATACATACATGGAGCGAAGATAAAAAGCAAATGCCATCAAAACTTTTCTGAAGATATTCGGTTCCCCCATATGCAATCATCGAATTTATTAATTCATACATTCTTTCATATAATTTCTCTCAGCACTCTGCCTTCATTATGTTTTCATAGAAAATGAAACCCACGCTGCATGTTGCATTTGCATCATGAGACTTTTAATAACTTTGCCTAATGCTGAGCAGTATTTACTGCAAGTTTTTCCCATCGTAATAATCAAATAGCCTATGGTTTTAAGGATAAAATATGAAACGGTAATGATTTATCGTCAAACCGTAACCGTTTCATCACTAATTAAGCTTCTTACTTAATTTTCATATTTATACAATTAATTTAGGTGACTGGACATGTAAGGTTGATTTGTTTTGGTTTGTTGGAATAAAAAAATATAATCTCTTAATCAAATGTTTTTATTCTTAGATTAATCTACTTTTTATATTAAAAAAAAAGTGTTTTATGACTTCTGATATCTGATGATATTTCTGATATTCTTTATACACACCCTCAAGTCATGCTGTTCATCAACAAATTGTTTAAACAGGTTTTTCTGGATCAACCTATTCATTGAAAATATCTGAATAAAAAGAACGAGTTGTTCATAACATATTGCTAAAGAAAAGACTGTGCGAATGTTAAATTTTACATTGATAAATGATTCATTCATCAGGGGCAGTTGTGGCCTAATGGTTAGAGAGTCGGACTTGTATCACAAAGGTTGCACACTCGAGTTTCAGGTCCGGCAGGAATTGTCGGCGCTGTCTTATATACAGCGCTCTCTTCCACCTTCAATACCACGACCTGAGGTGAGGCCCTTGAGCAAGGCACTGAACCCCCAACTGCTCCTCGGGCACCACAGCAATATGGCTGCACACTGTTCAGGGTGTGTGTGTGTGTGTGTG